GGCGGGGGGAGCCGATCGGGCTAGTGGCAGCCGATTAGTCGAACTAACAAAAGTGAATCGATCGAACTAGGTGAAGTGTGCAGTTGGTCAACGACGCATGTAGAAAAGGATATTTTTAATGCGATTTTAAAATACATGCAAGAAATACCATGAATGCGAATACACACATGACATGATGGCCAGCTGATTTCAATGACGAAACTGTGCTCATCCTAGCGATCTCACGCGATCCTAGAGGTAATTGATGAAGAGGTGTACCAATGTCTTATTGAGCGGGGCAACATGACGACCGCCTCCGCTTGCATGTCTCAAGGTTGGAAATTTCTCGTGAAGAGGATTTCCCATGACCGGGAAGATGTAAATCGAAGGAATGTCTTCGTCTTCTCGGTCGGTAGGTTTCAGAATTTCATCCGGATGAAACCACCAAGACAAACAACGAGAGTAGTACAACCCCGTCTTTCGGATTTAGGTCTAGAAAAGAAAATGATAGGTTTTTCTCTTTTGCTTCGTAGGGGAATCACAAAACACCTAATCCTATGGGGCTTCTCTCTAAACACAAAGAAAACACTAACCTAAATCCTCTAACAACCAGACCTAGAGGCTTTAGGATTGAAAAATAAGTGTTTAGACGGTTTCTTGCTATCTTAACGGTTGATTGAAGCGTTCCCTTTGCACGTTCTTGCCCTTACCTTGTTTCGATAATGCTCACTCCGCTTGGACTAACCTAGCGAGTGATCGGTGATGATCCTAACTGGATGCATCTAAAAATACGGGCGAAAACCGGGAACCGCTTCCCTTGCTCCTCTCGTACTAAAATTGAACAGTTGGCGTCATGTTAGACTTGCAAGTATAGAAAAAGTTCTTTATTTTGCTTGCCTCAAGGTTTTGAGAAAAACAACACACTTGAAACCAAATATTGGGATGAACCAACTAATTCATGTGATATGGCCAATGGTGGGGGTAATTTTTTTATATATTTGCTCGACTAAAACAAATATCGAGCAGAGTACTTCCAATTACCACAATCAAATATGTTTTAATCAAAAATTAAATAAAAATAATAAAAAAATAGAACAAATATCATGAAAAAATATAAAATTTTAAATATTTTAAATCTCCCAAAATATAATTTTATTTAAGTTCCAATGAATTTTTTTAATACATTAAAAAAGGAATGAAATACAGCCAACCAATCCCTAGCAATCTTAGGAATTTCGAGCAGTGTTGGGACTTTATATATTATTTCTCGCTAGTAAATTTATTTTTATTAAATATGCGATCATGACAATTTTTGACTTTAGTTGCTAAGGTCTAGCTCGGAGAATTTAACTTATAAATGGGAAGGGAGAAACTACTTCCAATTCATCCACTTCAAAGCAAAATCGACTCTTTCCTCTTGCAATTTCCTTGAAAATATAGTCTCTTAATTTTCCAATATAATGGCACTAAATTAGTCATTCAATTTGTACAAATTATTATAATTATGTTTCTTAAGTTATAACTATAGTCATTTATATAGTCATATTTCCATCATATCCCGAACAGTAATAATATTTTGATTTACATTTTTAAATCACATAAATAAAATATGCGGCACAATTTCATTGCTTTTGCATCATAACTTCCATTATGAAGCTTTTACAATACTTAGCATCTAAGCCATCCTAAGAGAACTGCAAGTCCAATCACACGATGCCACATTAGCACAAATTTATGTGTATTACAGACGTAAAATTTTCTCACTAAGTGATATTATGAGCACGCACTTAAAAAAAAAAAGTTATACACACACACATTCAAACACTCATAATGCCACATTCCTTGACTCTTTGGTTGGCATTTGTATGTTTGTTCTAAATCTCTTGGGATCGGGAGATCGCTACCGCTCGTCCTGATCAAGTGGTTCAACACATGAGGTGTAATAGGCATAAATTACAAACTGTAGGCGTTTTGACAATATTTAATTTTTTTTTAATTACTGATTTAGCAAATTTAAATTTAAAAAATACATTTTGAAAATTTGGGCCATCAGACAAAACAAAGCAGTTAATTAATATTGAAGAAAGAAAAATAATAAATAAATATATATATATATATATATAAACTGTGTCTTGAATATATGTAATCTAAGAGACACTATGATGCATATTTTTGGGTTTAAAATAAAAAAAAAAAGAGGCATCACATTAATTATGTATCATGAGCCAAAATCAAATGAGAGCCACAAGGAAAAAGCTGAAAGGAAAACTGACAACCTCTTCCTTTAACAGATAAAGTATACCTCAAACAAATTAAGTTAGTCAATGAAAATCATTTGACATTTAACCTTCCCAGGTGCAATATAAATTTAAAGATTAATTTCACAAGGCATTATAAATAAAGAGCAGGGGAATTACAGAACACAGAATGTTCAAAAAGCGTCATGTTTACTGCTCCGCAAGTTTGTCCTTCAGATACTTCAGAATGGCTTTAGTTCCTCGATCAAGAACTGCACGCCTGATGCTGCAAATTAACAGAAATGAAGTTGGTTTTAATTGTAACTAAGGCTCCATACTATATATATATATATATATATATATAGCAAGAGAGTTGTACCAAAATATCAGAAGGGAAGCAATATGCTTGATTTATGAGAACAAAATAGTAATCCCCAAAAATGATGGAAAATGTAACTTCATAGTCCCCAGGATGAGATTGACGTGCATAAGTTTTGAATCCCTGGCCTTGGCAGCATCTTACAAAATCCTTACCAACAGGAATACGTAGCAGTTTCTTTTACCACTCATGTCCTATGTATTTACACATCTAACACATACACTTAAATTTTTACATATATGACATCTTACCTATGCATGAAGGATGTACTTCATTTTTTTAAAGTTAAATTAGTGAACTTTTCTAGGGATATAAAAGATTTGGCTGGTATAAATGTAAAAAAGTAAAGTTTAGATGTTAAATATGTAAATATATAGGGGATTGTGTGGTATGTATGTAAATGCCCATTTTTTTAATGATACATAAAAGTTAACTAGTATTATATTGTTTCTTAAGCACCATAGCAAATATTATTCTGAAAATTTTCCATCCAAAATAAATAATACAACAAAACATAGTTTAGTACTTCTTACCTTCTTAAGGGGTTGCCATCAAGTTTCAGAACCTGGAGGTGAGACTCTAGCAAGCCCTGCTCAAAAAAGTTTTTTATTCAGAACATACAGCTTTTCAATCATTTCCCACTGCAAGCATGCATAGCAAGATTCTCAGAACATAAAAAATATACAAGAAATTGAAATAAAATGATAGAGAATAATTCATAAATGGTTTATAAAAACGACAACACAAATATTTCACATTCGAAGCAGTGATTCTTATAGTGATTTCAGTTCTAGCTAATAAGGAATGCAAGGAAGTCAGACCAATTCAGAAGGAAGCGCAGCAATGTTGTTGTTCGACAAGTCAAGCTCTTGAAGTGATGTTAGATTCCTTACTTCCTGTTCAGAAAAAAAATTAGGAATTTTTTCTGATGAATTTCAGAAATACGGAATTCACATGCACCCAGAAATGATTAAAGGAAAAAAATAAAAATCTCCACATGGTTACATAATATGACTGTATTTATGTCTCTGAATTCATATTCAAAACAAGGGATCAAATAGATAAAACTAATAAAGTCAATCTACATTAACACACAAAATTTTGACAATGTTTATGAGAAAATTGTTAAAATGGTCCCCTTACCTTTTGTAGGAAGCCAGTTTAGTCCCAAAGAATAAAAGTGTCAATTTAGTCTCCATACACTTTTAATGAGGGCTAACATAGTTACCTCTGGGTTCTATATTTTAGCTCATATTAAAAGAGTCCATGAACTAATTTGACATATAATGACCACATGTAAATAGCCAGAGGACTATTTTGACAATATACTCCATTGTTTATACAATATTTACACTACCATTTAAGGCAAAAGAGAATGTGATATATGAATTATCCACTCCAGATTGAATTCTAATCCCAATACCATGGCAACTTACTTTTAGAAGGTAAGTTATACCTCTAGATTTAGTCCCCATACACTTTTAATGAGGGTAAAAAGAGTCTGGGGACTAATTTTATTCTTTTATGGACTCTGGAACTAAAATGACAACATGTAAATAGTCATAAGACTATTTTGACACTTGACTCCATTATTTATACAACATTAACACTAGCATTCAAGGCAAAAGATAATGTGAAATATGAATTATCCACTCCGGATTTAATTCTGAGCCCATTACTATGGCAACTTACTTTCAGAGGTAAGGTAAGCTATACCTCTGGTAGCAAGACAAGTAAATTCTGGCTTAAGTCAAGAACCCTAAGCTGCTGTAAGCTCAAAATACCCGATGGAATATGAGATAACTTCATTCTTCTGTAAATCACAAAAGCAGCCAGAAAATTGAATAAATGTGATTTTAGCAGTACGTGAAGGGATCCTGAAAGAGCCAAGTACAGACCTCAGGTGAAGTTCCTTCAACTGCGGGAACAAAGAAAATGCAGAAGAATCCAGAAGTGAAGAGGCATTGCCACTAAGGTCAAGTGATTCAAGCTTAGTGAGGGCTTCAAGGCCATTGAGAGGAATCTGTCCAAGTCAACAAATAATGAGTGCTTTTCGTTGAGTGTGAAACATGGCGAGTAACAGTTAATTAGAATATCCAGACATGTAAAAATAGAGCTGAAGGGGCCCTCCTAGATAATTTAGGCATTACCCTCCAGTTTATTGTTTGTTTCTTCTCAATTTTCAATTTTGACATACATAAGTGTTTGTTTTTGTCTCTCTTTTTTTACTATTACTTTCACGTACGTTGTTCGAGTTTTTTTATGGATTTGCTGATGATCTCAATTAAAACTACAACCTAGATAAAATTCAATGACAAAAAGTTCATACAATTAACATTTACTCTAACAGAAAGTATTATTTCACTAACAAATAAACAACGCATAAACAAATAAGTATAATATAGTTGATAAAAACAATAATTTTAGTGCCAGTAATAACGTGTTTCATAACATTGAGCCAATTACACATAATGTTAGTGGGTGTTCTCATTGGCATTAATTCAACAGAAACTAAACCTCCAAATATGACAATTATGATTTGGATGGGTTAATAATGAAGATATGGCTGCTTAAGAAGATCCTCAATTAAGAATCCTAAGATCGGGTTTTATGAACATCAAACTAGATCCTAAGTAATTTATCTGAGACTCTTCATTAAACACATTCAAGCTTAGGGGTTTATCTTAATTTTATTCTTTTTGTTCTTTGTTTTAGAAAGAGGGCTTAAGCAATGGTTAAGTGGCCTCCACTAATATCTGCATTTGATTCATGGATCCTAGCTCACAGGTCCTCCTATCATGGAAAACACAATTAAATTTTGATTGATATTTATCAAAGTGGCAGATAAAACTAAAATCAACATGTCCGAATAGCTGTTTTATAATTGTCTTATTCTTCTTGAACTTTACATCAATCTCCAAAGTACCTTGAACATAGAATATAATCAACTCAAATATGCTAATGGCCCTTAAAATGTAGTGAGTAGTGAAGGATTACTACGGTATACTTTGCTTTCATGGTTGTATGGTTCTACTATTTGAGATACGGGTGTTATTTAGATTACAATTTTATTTGAATTTTAATGTAATTTATGAAATGTTTGTCATGCTCCATCCAATGTTCTTTAAAAATCAGCATCAACTAAAATGCTTAATTGTGATTATAGCCTTAATAGTTCACATTTGTTTTTTACTTTTAGGCATTAGGGTTGAGGCTATCCTTATAGTGCCTAATTCAGGTTCTACTCGACTATATTTATCTATTTCTTTCATATATTTTTTAACAAATCTCTCTGTAATACTATTTATCGGAGAGCAGAAACTAAAGCAATCCCTTCATTTCCATCTTTCTACAGTTTCTTTGTTCAATTATTATTATTATTATTTTTAGCACAAAAGGGATGGCATGATGATGAATGAGGTACTGACGTTTACATCTACTGGTGAAAAACAAAAGGTAATTTTTTTTAAATATAATCATAGGTATCCCATCAGATTTAGATCATTACATATTCTTTTTTTTAATTGTTCAAGATATATGACATTATATGGGCATTCACTCTGACACAACATATCATATTCGTGAAGCTCCCCGGTGCTCACAACTTACGTCGTGTTTGGCACCCTGTTTTTGCTGCCAAAATGGTGGGGGAGGGGGGTCGTAATTTGTGTCTTTAGGGCAGAAACTCGGTTGTGAGCTCCCCTTCATCCATTCTCAAGGCCTTCAACACTCGCTACCTATCTTTGTTATTTCTCTCGATTTCTTTTGTTCTCTGTTGAGATGGTTTGAATGTTTTCGCTTTAACATTTTTCTGTTTGGGTGGTTTAATGGTATGAAGGTTCTTGTTTTATCATCTTCACAGTTTATCTTTTGGCAGTTTGATGGTTTTTATTTTACCATTTTCCCCTTTCGTTCTCTTGCTTGTCTGACAAATTGCATTAACCTAATGGAAATCATGAAAGATCAGCTGATAGACTAATTTGATTACTCTAATTGCATTTCATTGCCTCTGCTTTAAGAAGATATATGTGCACTGTTCTTTGTTTTGAAAATTTATGTTGAAGCAATGTTATTTATTAAAGTTCTGATATTATATGGTTAATTCGGTTGCTATTGTGTAGAGAACCATTTTCTATAAAGAAATATGAGCACATCTGTTTTATTTAACATAATAAATATTTCCTTATGTTCTCTCTACCTCCACCATAAGTTTTCATTGATCAGATAGAAATTTGAAAGTTCGGATGTTAGATAAGTTAGATAAAGTGCATTACATTAACTGCATTTCAATCTTGAAAAATAATTTTTGGAGAAAAGTTTGAGCACTATTTGCTTTTTAAATAAAATCATTGAAAATGTGTTTGAGCTGATGCAAAATGAAGGTTAGATGCTGGATAAGCAACCACCTTCCATTTTTTCTACTGTTCAATTAGGTAAAGTTACATATGGAAAAATATATGTGCATTGCTCTTTGTTTTGAAAATCTATGTTGAAACTATTTTATACATTGAAGTTGTGATATTAGAAGATTAATTTGCTTGCTCTTGCCTCTTATTCAATATAAAGAAACATTTTCAGGAGAGAAATTTAAGCATTATTATTTGATTGTTAGTTTGTTTTTTTTCTGAAAAATTAAACCACTGAGAATGTCTTTATTCTGATACAAAAGTGAAGGTTAGATGCAAGATATAGATGTCACCTTCCATTTTGATCCTGCTCAATCAGGAAAAGTTATACATGGAGAGATATATATGCACCACTCTTTGTTTTGAAAATTTATGTTGAAGCAACTTTAAATATTAAAGTTATGATGTTATGTGTTGCTATTGTCTTTTCTTCAATCTATAGAAATATTTCTGGAAAGAAAATTTAGGAATGTTTTTTTTTTTTGGAATAATTATACCATAATGGATATGCTTCTTCTGATGCATATGTGATGGTTAGATGCTAGATATTGATAAGACCTTCCATTTTCAACTTGCTGAATCAGAAAAAGTTATGGAATGAGAGATATTGTATGCACAACTCTTTTTTCTTAAAAAAAATTATGTAGGGGGTATTTTATATATTAAAGATCTGATGTTAGATGATTAATTTGTTTGCTCATACCTATTCTTCAATCCAGAGAAACATTTTATGAGAAAAAAATTTAGCACAGTTTATTTTTTTTGAAAAATTATACCATTGGGAATGTCTCCGGAGAGATATATCGGAAATGCCTTTGATATTATATTGGGAATGTCTTTGAGCTGATGCAAACCTGAAGTTTAGAAGCCGAATAGTTTGGATTATGCTTTGGTACTTGGGATGGTTATAGATTTTTCGGCCGCGATGCATTTCATATTTGAAATGTTATTTAGAGCAATAATGAAAAAAAACTATTAAAGGGCTTAACCACCGACCACCAATTGTCACTTTTAAAATTGACAAATAAGTTTTGCCACATATACTACCTGTTATTAGATCACAGATACAAGTGTTTATCAATGATGCTACATTGGTCTTGAAGCCTAAATGATAAAAATGGTGATCTTGGATGGAGCCTTCTTTGATTAAAAGATTTCACTGAGCTCTAATGGTTTGTTCGAGGTGTTGTTTTGGCTAGCATGATTGAACAAGAGAAAAGTGAAAGAAAATAACTTATCTAGCATCTAAACTTCATGTCTTTATCAGAGCAAAAGACATTCTCAATAGTATACCTTTTCAAATAAAAACAAACAGTGTTCAAATTTATCTTTGGATTGAAAGAAACAATGAAATGCAATTACTGTAAAACACTTTATCTAACTTATCTAATAGCTGAACTTCCAGATTTCCATCTGATCAATGCAATTTTCTGGAAGAGGTAGAGAGAACATGAGAACATATTTATTAAGTTTAATGCAGAAGATGTGCTCATATTTCTCTCCATAAAATATTTCTCTGGATGGAGAAAGAGACAAGTGCAACCAAAATAACTGCCTAACATCATAACTTTAATATATAAAATAGCTTTAACATAGATTTTCAAAACAAAGAGCAGTGCACATATATCTTTCCATGCATAACTTTTCCGAATTCAACATAATGAAAATGAAAAGTGATAACTTTGTTGAGCAAATTGGAATTTTGAAACCAAAGAGTTTCAATGTTTGATATATGTTGATACATGAATTATGTGATGTTGGTTTAGTTCTTGCTATTTATTTGATGTTGTTTGTTTGGTGAGTTTGTGGACCTATTAGTTTCTTGAGTTTGTGCAATTGTTCGTTCGCAGTGACGGTTTTGAAGTTTGTTTCGGTGATGCGTTTCATTTTTTTGAAATGCTTTGTAAAGTGATGATGGAAAAAACAGAATAAATGGCTCAACCGATCACCAATTGTGAATTTAATAATTGACCACACATACTTGTTACAGATACTACCTCGTTTTAAGCCTAAATGACATAATTGGTGATCCTGGATGGAGCCTTTTCTAATAACTTGATCTCATTTAGCTTTACTTTGAAATCTTCTTTTCACCTCTTTTTGCCTTTAAATAATTTTGTTTTACTTGCTAAATAATATTATTTCGACCACATTTTCTTATCGATTGATACATCCGATGGGTAAATAAAAGGAATGTGGGATGTTTGTCATTTGGGATAGAGAAACAAATATAATAATCTGTGGTTTATGCTTGAGGAAGATAGAAATTAGCAATAGACTGGCCATACATTTCAAAACAAAATATTGGCAAAATATCACAAAAAATTTTCAAGAAAGAACTGATAAAAAATATCATATCTAATGCGCGCACTGTTCTGCATGGATACCCGACAATGACAAATGTTCCAAAGCTGTTGGATTCTATTCTAGATAGTTTTTTATGACATACTCCTCTACGTATTTGCTGTAAAAATTCTAGATGACCAAAATAAACGGGAGACTTTCTTTACCTAGTGTCGGAACGGAGGATTCCTTATCTCTGATATTTTTTAGAGAATTAGACAAGCCAATTGCATTTTTTTATTTGTTACTACTATTTCAGATTTTTTATTGGTAATATTGTACAATTCCATGATGAACTATGGATTGTTTCATGTTTATTTGGTATTTCAGTATTTATGGATTTGAATATTTGTAATGCTTTCATTATGAGTCATTTAAACAATCATCTACACTTCCATCATAATATGTTCTTATTAAACTCTAACATGCATCTTTTAGACAGATGGATCCACCAAATGAAGAAGAAATTATAGAGACAATCGAGAGAGCAACGATCCTTACTACAATAGTTTGTGTCATCAATGAGAATTGCCAAAAAAATTTGTGTAAGACACCTTGTGTGTCATCATCATCTTTAGGTGACAAATAGTTTGACGAATTACTCGAAGCTCATCCAAGAAGAATTCATAGCATGTTCCAGATGTCAAAAAACTTTTTATGTGCTTTGCTCGATGAATTGCAGTCTAAATATGATTTACATAAATCGTCGCCCTTTATATCTTGAAAAATTCTAGCCATCACGGTTTTTATTGTCACACAATGAGTTCATCAGTAGCGATTGTCAAACCCCTAGACCCCACTTTTGCGCAAATACCACGAGAAATCCATAGCGATTCGAGATACATGTTGTTCTCAAAGGTATCAGTATTTCTACCTATTATAACATTACTACATTAAAGAATAAAATAAAGGTCTAAAAAGTTTTTAAAAAACAATTGTATTAGATCAATTGACGACATGCATGTCGATATACGCGTGGGCAATGATGAGAAGATCGCATATCCTGGACGGTGTAGGGTTGTTACATAGAGCATCTTAGCAGTGTGTGATTTCAATGCATTCTACGTTTTTGATGACTGGTTAGGAAGAGAGCGCTCATGATAATCAAATTTTAAATTTGCAACCCGACGACGTGCATAAAAATTTCCAACATCTCCCCAATGTTAGTACATTTAAAATATTACATGAATCTTTTCATTTTAGAATATGCACTCATGATGTTATTATTAAGAAATATATTACCTCGTCAATTCAGGATATCCATTACAACGGGTTTCTTGAAGCCATTTCCCGATACGAGGTATCACATTCCAGATTTTGAGTGCAGCTGCCAAGTACTTAGTGAGAGAAATAAACTCTTCAATAAAAGACACTCGTCATTACAGAGTGTTATCGATAGAGCATTTAGTGTATGGAAGAAGTGGGTCATACTCTGAAATATGCCGACGTACTTCTTCAAAAAACAAGTCAAGATAGTTGTTACAACAATAATGCTCCATAATTTTTTACAAAGACATCCATCCCAAGACGATATTGATGTCAGGGTCTTAGACAACCTGCATGCCATAAAAAACATTCGAACATAGGGTCGGACATTCAATGCCCAATGAGGACTTTGGTATGAACGAATACAATACATACGAGGGAGAATACGTGAAATATGTGATCCAGGTAAGAGAAGATATTATTGATGCTTTGTTGAATGTATCAACTGTATTTATGCAGTATTACCTAACGACTTCTTGTTGATGATTCTTATTTCAGCTGTACGATGGATTTGTAGATGTAGCTGTAGCATTCTGTGTTAAGGTTTTCTTTATGTATCCTTTTTAAGTTTGATTTTTCTTGTAATATTGTTTAATTTTTTTTAATGTTTCTGTCGCATATCTACTTTTTTGGTCAATTGAAGTCATAATGTATTGTAATCACGAGAAATATGAGTTCAAGAGCATCAGGTACTTCGAGTGTTCCATCCTGCCACTGTGACGCACGGTGTAATGATTACCATTCAAAAAAGGAAAACAGGTGCAGGAGAAGATTTTACTGTTGTCCTAGAAACATGACTCCTAAATATTGTAAAAAATTGCAATTATTTTCGTTCGATTATTGACACAGATAAGTTCGCTCCAGACAGTGATCAAGTCAGAAGAGATGTTGTTATGGAAAGGAGATTATCCCGAAAACTTGATCGTAAAGACATGAAAACAAATATCATTCTAGGCTTGCTGATTATTTTGGTGATTCTCTTTATTTTGTTATCTGCATGAAATGACCAGTCATTTTTTTATGTATTATGTCATTATTCTAATTAGGTCGCAATGGAGAAAGAGGATTCATGTAGCCGACCCCACGTAGTGGGATTAAGGCTTTGTTGTTGTTGTCATTATTTTAATTATTTTGAAAATTATAATTATTGTGATATATTACATATATAAGAGCAAAACAGTCTTTTTTATTAGAAACAACAACAACACAATAGGTTATCCAAACAAACTCCCACTTTTCCCACAAACTTTCTCACAACACTTGAGAAGTTGTTTCCTCAAGAAGCAACAACTGCTTCTTGAAAAAGCCCCAACCGCCCCAAATACACCATTAATCATACATAATTTCACAGTCAAGGAAATCTAGACATTACTTTCCACGAGTTTACTTTCAAATGTAAAATAAATGTAAGATATAATGAGATAGAATTTAAAAGGTTTTTGTATATAGAAGATTAGTTTGCTTTCATAATTTTAACTACATTCCTCCAGCTTTTTTTTCTTTACTCGTAGAAACTTCGCAGTATTCAAAGACAAGGAAAAAAAAAATAATTCAAAACCTTTTAATATTGATATTACAAAGAAAAGTATAATCTTCTACGATGCACCCAAGATAAATTAAGATAACAAGAAGGAAAACAATAAAGGAGATTAGTTTGAAGAGGCTTAATAAACTGTAAATTGCAATGCTTCTCTAAATTCTTAGGGGCTGGGTTTTGGATGATTTGTTGTTTGGAAGTTTTTAGCTATATCTTGGTTATGGTAGGTGGTTTATCACTTGTTACCCTCTTACTCGTGCAATCGTGTGATTATGAGATTGGAGCATGAGAAAGATACTGCACCTGAAGCTGGACGCAACATATGGTGTCTCCTTCTTGCGGCCATCTGTGATTTTCTACTCCTAGGATGTAGAAATTGCAGGAATTGGGTGCTTACTGTTCTTCCTATTTGGAATTTAAAATTAAACTGGTTGTTCTTTGGTTGATTTGAAATTTAAAATTAAATTGAAAATTAATTTAAACTTCGACTGGGACTGATTTTATAGCAATCTTATTATGAGGACTCTTAACACTTGTTGAAATGAAATATGTAATTAGAAACTTTAGTCAAGAAGAAAATTTATTTTTCTAATTTCAATCTTGTGAGTATAAGCTGAATGAGCAATTCCTTCGAGTGTGATAAAATGTGACTATTTAATTTTAGAGAAGTCATATATTCATAGCATTAGGCTTTTTTTTTAATAGTATTTATATTTTATATTTTATTGCATCTGCAAAATTTATTATTTACATTAGTGCTCATGAATTTGATGAGAAAGTGATGTCGGAATCCAATTTATGAAAATTAATTTTAGTAATATGACATGTTGTATGGTTTCATGCAAAGAAAATATAAATGTATCTCATGCCGTCAATTAATTCAACAACTTACTTACCATAAGAAAACAAGAAAAACTAAGTATCCACACGCACTTTACCTTCGACAGGGGATTATTATCAAGCTTCAAAGAAGAAAGACTGGGTAGGGATGATAATATCGCACCAGGCCATTGCGCTATCTTGTTCCCGGAAAGAATCAGTACCTGCAAATTTTTGTTCAACATAAGTATGCGTTGGAATAAAGAAATGAAGTTAGCATTTCACCGATTTGCACATTATTACTAAAATTATCAAATATATTAATGAAAGGAAGGTTTTTTTTACATAGAGAGATAATAGTCGACACATGTAAATTTTTAATGAATGATATAATTGAGTAGGATGTTTGAAACCTGGATTCTATTATACAAGGCATAGATGCATCAAATAAAATGACAACATAGGATGCCTCTGATAGAAATTTGAAAGAACACACTTGTTAGAAACATAGGAGATACTTATTAAGGCGAGGAAATCCATATTTTGGGTAGTGATGTTTACTACCGTTGTTTCACTTCATAGTTTTTGTTTAAAAGTTTGTCTTTGAACGTAACAAGGTATATGATGAGTTCTCCAATATTTTGATTACCTTATTAGGTTTGTCTTAGACCAACAACTAAGGTCAATTTAGTCTTTTATTAATTATTATTGTGGGGTTTAAATAGAGCTTATTATGCTCAGTGTTGGGCTAAACTATGAGATTTTTGTCTTTAGTCTTAGGATTAGGATTTGGGAGAGATCGCCTACCTCTCAAATTGTAGGCGTTAGGATTAAGGTTTGGGAGAGTCAATCTACCTCTTGAATTGTAAATCACTCATTGCATCTTTTTTATTTGCTTGGAAATTAGTTAAATTAATCCTCATTTGGGTTTTCCCAGACATTTTTTGCATTTTTTTTTGTCGATTTTGGCTTCAATTCATATCAGTTTGGTTTATTATTACAAGTAGATTCAATTCAAAGCTTGCACATGGGTACCAATGTCCCGCAATTTCTATGTTTGCGGCAAACAATCTCTACTATTTATTTTATTCTTTGGATTTTTGTTCTAGGCTTCTTACAAAGGAGAAAATATTTGGTGTGGAGTCTGGACGTAATTTTGCGTCCGGATGCCAATAGAACAACACCACCGAACTTATGAAGGACCAACATATTGGGCTAATGTTGGGGTGATCTTGTGGTTTTTGGAATAAGATATTAATGGGGTGGTACCGAGGTGGTGTTGAGGTGGCACTTGAGTGGTGTTGGGTTTGTATTGAAGCAGTATTGGGGTGGCGATATTGAAGTAAATTAGTAGTGGTGTTAGGTGTGACATTTATGGGGTGATATTGAAGTGGCTCTGAGGTGTTATTGAGTCAATATTCAAGTAGTATTGAGTGGATTAGTAATTTTGTTGAGTTGTATTGGGGTGGTATTAAAGTGTTATTCCGATTATCTGCTGCCTTTCCTCACTCATTGAACAAAGTCTCCTTGTCAAATCAAGTACACATTTTTCCGTAATAAATTTATGAATATATATAGCCCAAATTTAATGTATGAAACAGTATAGTGAACAAATAATGCCAAAAAATTTGTATTGGAGAAATATATTTAGCAGCAACAACTGCGGTGAGCGTGGATCGAACAAAGACTATATATTTAGTGACGAAGGATAATTTATACATCTAAACAATTATACACTGATTAAGAATGACCTAACTATCTCGAAACTCCTCCGCTCTTGCTTTTCCCTCTTTCACTTCCATTTTTTTATCACACAAAATCCCTAAAAAATTATAAATGAGTTTAATAAGTGCTCAACGATGCAGAGAGAAGAAATACCCGAAATCGATAGACGTCATTACGTTCGACGGCATGACGACCCCGATTCTCCAAGCAGAAACTCATCCCCTGCGCCAGCGAGACACATCCGAACCTCGTGAGAAAAACGGGAAAAACTAATGAGGGCGCGACGCGGGTTTGAGCAGAACAAGAAACCCTAACAATGGAGAATGGAACGACGTAGGTTTGAATAGGCGAACAACTTTTTTTCGTAATATATTGGGCTGTTTGGGCCGGGATCGCTCGCCTCTAAAAATACAACATTTTCTTCCTCTTATTTGATATACTATGTGGGTCCTCCATATGCTGGGTGGGGTTGTTTCATTGACGTCCGAACACAAAACTGCGCACGGACTCAGCACCAAATATTTTCTCCTTATAAAGTGCACTATTTCATGTTCGTTATGTCTGTGGCTATTATGTTGAAGGTATTTCTCTTTGTTATTGTTCTTTGTACTACAGTAGCAACACCTACCTTCAGCTTCAAGTTTGCATCCATGAAGGATTAGTATTGCTTGTTGTTATTTTGTGAAGCCTAACAATATTGCTCAAAGTTCACTCAAAGCATTGGCACAAAACTGGAAGGGGCTCAAGAGGGCTGAAGTTGGGCTCTCCAGCACCCCGAGGGTTGGTGTGTGGAAAGATAGCGTCCAGGAGCAAGTTTTCAACTTTTCACAAACAAGGTGTTCGAAAACTCGACGCTCGGGGCGAGCGATCCACCACCCAAAAGAACGACTCCAAGACTCGAGCGCATGGAAAGGCAGCGCCCAGTTCGCACCTTGCACCCAATCATCAGAAAACCCAGCACTCAGAAGTAGCGTCCAGATGCTTGTAACCGATTTCTGCAGTTCAAGGCTTTAAGTTTCGAGTTTCTTCACCGCGGGAGGGGCGAGCGAAGTAACATGAAGCGGTGTATGCGTTTTATGGGTGAATTTCTAAAATTTCTCTCGTGTGATTGAGAGAGGAGGTGCATTTGTGAGTTCCAAGATTGTAGAGAGGATTTGAGTGTGGTAAAATCAGTACATTTCTTCACATTTCATAGTGAAGCATTTGGATAGCAGCGCATGGTACTAAGTGCCCCACCAAATGCTCCAGGACTTAAGCGTGTGGAAAGATAGCGCCTAGGAGCAAGTTTTCAACTTTTCAGAAACAAGGTGTTCGAAAACTCGACGCTCGGGGCGAGCGATTTAAGAAGAACGACTCCCAAACTCGAGCAAATGGAAAGGCAGCGCCCAGTTCACACCTTGCACCCAATCATCAGAAAACCCAACACTCAAAAGTAGCGTCCAGATGCCTATAACCGATTTCTGCAGTTCGAGGCTTTAAGTCTCGGGTTTCTTCACAGCGGGAGGGGTGAGCGAAGTAACATGAAGCGATGTATGTGTGTTATGGGTGAATTTCCAAAATTTCTCTCGTGTGATTGAGAGAGGAGGTGCATTTGTGAGTTCCAAGATTGTAGAGAGGATTTGAGTGTGGTAAAATCAATACATTTCTTCACATTTCATAGTGAAGTTCTTTGTATGTCGTGGCTCCATATTTTTTTCTATTTTCGAGTTTTCTCCACGTTAATTTTTTTTCTTATTTGTGTGCTTCTGCTCAGTTTATTTGTTTCTGATCTTTCCAGCGCGTGGAAAGAAGCGTCCAGAAGCAAGCCTTCAACTTTTCACAAACAAGGTGTTCAGAAACTCGACGCTCGGGGCGAGCGATCCAACACCCAAAAGAACGACTCCAGAACTCGAGCGCATGGAAAGACAGCGCCCAGTTCGCACCTTGCACCCAATCATCAGAAAATCCAACACTCAGAAGTAGCGTCCAGATGCCTGTAACCGATTTCTGCAGTTCGAGGCTTTAAATTTCGGGTTTCTTCACCGCGACGCGGGAGGGGCGAGCGAAGTAACATGAAGCGGTGTATGCGTGTTATGGGTGAATTTCTAAAAATTCTCTCGTGTGATTGAGAGAGGAGGTGCATTTGTGAGTTCCAAGACTGTAAAGAGGATTTGAGTGTGGCAAAATCATTACATTTCTTCACATTTCATAGTGAAGCATTTGGACACCAACCTCTCCAGCACCCCGAGGGTTGGTGTGTGGAAAGATAGCGTCCAGGAGCAAGTTTTCAACTTTTCACAAACAAGGTGTTCGAAAACTCGACGCTCGGGGCGAGCGATCCACCACCCAAAAGAACGACTCCAAGACTCGAGCGCATGGAAAGGCAGCGCCCAGTTCGCACCTTGCACCCAATCATCAGAAAACCCAGCACTCAGAAGTAGCGTCCAGATGCTTGTAACCGATTTCTGCAGTTCAAGGCTTTAAGTTTCGAGTTTCTTCACCGCGGGAGGGGCGAGCGAAGTAACATGAAGCGGTGTATGCGTGTTATGGGTGAATTTCTAAAATTTCTCTCGTGTGATTGAGAGAGGAGGTGCATTTGTGAGTTCCAAGATTGTAGAGAAGATTTGAGTGTGGTAAAATCAGTACATTTCTTCACATTTCATAGTGAAGTTCTCTGCATGTCGTGGCTCCATAGTTTTCTTCTATTTTCGAGTTTTCTCCAAGTTAAATTTTTTTTATTTCTTATTTGTGTGCTTTTGCTCAGTTTATTTGTTCCTGATCTTTCGAATATGTGTTTTTCTGCAAGTTCTTGGAAGTTCAAATCCTCCTAATAAGCATTATTAGAGCAGGGCTTTTTTTTCTAAAGATATTTGAATTGAGCAGGAGTAATGACCAACAAAGCAAAATACAAGGTGAAGATATTCAATGGTACGAACTTTGTGTTATGAAAAATTCGACTTGAAAATTTATTGTATCAAAAGAAACTGTATTTTTCACAGGAAGGAATCACCAAAAAACTTGAATCGAGGCATCTGAAAGAATGGGAACTGTTTGACTGAACAACACTAGCTTTAGTTTGTCTATCACTTTTTTTCAGGGGGGGGGGGGGGGGGGAACACCAACGTCTGGTACTAAGTGCCCCACCAAATGCTTTAGGACTCGAGCATGTGGAAAGATAGGGCCCAAAAGCAAGTTTTCAACTTTTCGGAAATAAGGCATTTGGAAACTCGATGCTCGGGACAGCGATCCAATGCCCAGAAGAATGACTCCAGGATTCGAGTGCATGGAAAGGTAGGGCCCAGTTCACACCTTGCACCCAACAATCAGAAAACCCAACACTCAAAAGTAGTGTCCTGATGCCTGTAACCAATTTCTGCAGTTTGAGCTTTAAGTCTCGGGTTTCTTCACCGCGGGAGGGGCGATGAAGGGGTGTATGCATGTTATGGGTGAATTTCTAAAATTTCTCTCGTGTGATTGAGAGAGGAGGTGCATTTGTAAATTCCAAGATTATAGAGAGGAA